AACTTAATTATAATTATAATTTGATAATTTTTAAACAATTTTAAATCTTTTAAATTTATAAAAGATATGTAGAGAAAAAAATAAAGAAAGACAACGGACATAGAATACACCCTTAATAATAGTCTTAAAAAATAGCATAAAACCTAAGACAAGAGTCTGGCAGACTTGTCAAATCAGCTAAGCCTCTAGATATTTATATGATTAATTTAATATTTTGAAAGAAACTTAATTTCTTATCCTTAACATGTTGGGAGCCATTGAATAAAAGATATTAAATTAATAAAACACCTATTTCATTTTAATTTCATTTATGTATTTCATAATAAAAATTGTTTAATTTTTCTTTAACATAGGCTCAATATTCATATTAATTTTAATTTTAGATACCAGCTCTTCATAGTTATAAAAGGAAATAATAATACAATTTTTCTGATTCTTACCTTATAAGAAATTGGTCAGACACAAAATAGTTGAATATTTATATTGTCTAGTTGTAGGATGATAAATTTTTGTTTAGGTAATCGAAATTATAATCGAAAAATATCCTAATTAACAATCAAACTTTTGTTACAAATGAATACAGCTTAATATGTCTTTATGTAGTTAACATGATATAGCAAAATAAAGCTTTAACTATTTAATTATAAATAAGAAAAAATAAAGAAAAAAATGTATTAATTATTTTTTAATTAATAAAAATACCTTCATTAATTTATTTCAAATGAATATAATTAATTTCAAGTATTGAGTTTATTTTATGGAATTAAAATGGGTAGATCTTAATTTAATTTCTTTTTCCTTTAAACAACTATAATGCTCTAATTCTATTTTTCCTCATAAATGTAAAAGGTATCATTAAAAATAGAGAATTAAATGATTATATTAAAACCTCTTCTATTTTTAATAACTTATCAAGTGCTTTTATTATTAACCACATTTATAAAATCTTATTAAAAATAGCGCACTTATCTCTTTGATAATTAACAGAAAATTCGCTTGATGTTAAAGAATCCCAATCAATAATTCCTACTTCCCTCCAAGTCATTTATTTTGAGAAACTTAATTAAAGCACATCTTTCTGGTCGATCTCTATCATTTATCACAAGTATTTCATTATTTCCAGAAAAAGCAATTTTTATTTATCTATCCATGAATGTACTATAATGACTATTATATATAGAATTATTTTAGATATCCCAAATTTACAAATATTGAACTTTACTTAGATATATTATACATTATTTTATGTTAAGTTTATGAAGTATTAATTTCCACTAAATTTACAAGGATTTTTACACACCAATACAAAAGTATCTTCAATCAATTTTAGATTATTTAAGGTAGATTAGCATTGAGTAAATTAAATGGAGAAAAAACTAAAAATTAAGTTTAATAATTTTTTCCTTTTGAATTAAAAAAAAAATTTGCTAAATTATTAAGGATGCAACAATTATTAATTAATAATATCTTGATTCAAACATTTTCTATATCATGTTTAATCCTCATTTCCTTCAAACTCTAATGTCTAATAATCATTTTCTAAATTAAAACTAAAAAAGAAAGTCTATGCTCTGAGTATTATAAACATTCAATATCTCCCTAATATTGAAACAAAAATGATAAAAATAGATAGATCATGAAAACTATATCTAAGGTTATATTGATGCCTTGAGATAACATAAAGAAATTAATTATTGATCGTAATATGTAGAAGGGTCTAGTGATTATTATAAATTAAAAGTAACCAAAGGATTAAAACAAATATCTATTTTCTATTTATAATGTTTAGTTTACTAAAATTCTTAGTTTTGAAGCTCTTATAAAGACTTTGAGTTAGCCCCAAAAAATCATCAGAAAATGATTAATTAATTTTTATTATTATTTTATTTTAGCAAAGAACTCATTTAGCGTGACTTCTCCTGATTCAAATTAATTGTAAAATATCAGAGAAAAGATTTTTAGCTTTTTGATTAAGTTATATTGATTAATGCATTCTGCAGGCAAGTCAAATTAAGAATATTTTCGATATTGGATCAAATTAATATAAGAATTAATACTTTTATTACACTTCCTTTTAATAATTTTTAGATATTTGCCTTCTACAAAATAAAATTTTACAATTGTAAATAAGATCATGATGTGTAATCAAATTTATAATAAAATAGGTAAATAGTACTAATTTTTATGAACTTATCCATTTTTTAAGGAATTTAACAAAAAAATTATATTCTCTAAAGTTATTTATAAATTCAGACGTATATTTATTTATTAAATATATAAATTAAAAAATAAATGACTTCATACGGAATTTAAAAGTTAAAATGCGAGAAAGATGGTCATTAAGATGAGATAGAGAGTGTTTGTTATAATGAAATTTGTTCAGAAATCAGATTAAATTGTTTTAAATGTATGAAGAAGGGCATCCATCATGCACATCTTGATGATGTTGAAAAAACAAACAGTCTGATAGAATTCATTGAAAATAAAAATAAGGAATGTGATAATTTTATTAATGATCTTACAATATTAGTATAAAGTGTTACTTAATCATTTTATTAATTTAAAAAGGGAGTTAAGTATAAATATTAACTATAAAAGGAAAGATTAATATAATTGAATTCATTATAAATAAATGATTTACTGAATTCAACTATCAAATTTACTGAAGAAAAATAATCAATTACAAAAATCATATCAGATTAGATTAAGAAATTAAATCATATATTTAATAATTTATATGATTAATTAAACCTATCCTTATTTAATTATTATTATATAAATGATATTGATATTAAATTATCAAAAGAAAAATATAATCAAGGTAATTGTAATCACATATTCAGGTCACATGTTAAA